TAAGAAGTAAGGAAATTATACTGAAATCAAATGCAAGATTCAAACAATAAATAAAATGAAAATACAGGACCTGAAAAAAAAAAAAAAAAAAAAGTCCAGCTTTGAACAGAAAACCCCTTTCCCTTCTTTCCCTCCCCTCCCATGGACTCTGGCTGATGATATTAATACCCAGTGCAAATGGCAGCATCAGTTACAAAACTGTTCAACCAGTATTTAACACAGATCTGTAACACCATCATCATTCAGCCTTTCACAGGAGAAGCTACTGTCATTTTGAACACGTTCGGTATTAGAAATTTTTTTGGCCTCTTATTCCCCCCTCGTGTTGTTTACTACATCATTTCAGAAAGAGGTGCAGCAACCTTAGGAAGTCCTGTACCTTTATACAGGCAATTTTTATCTCCACTTCCCCCTGGCTCATTTAAGCAGAGAAGCTTTGTTTCCTGTGCACAATTACACCTAGCCCTTCCACTTATGGAAGGAAGGAAAAGTCTACTTTCAACAAAAGGGGGATTTGAAAGCCATCAAAATCCTCAAGTGGAAGTTCCTGAGTAAGTGTATGATGGTTCTTAATCATCAAGGCTGACAACTAAGTATTTAGGAACTACTGCTTGTCTTGGCTGGGTCAGATGACTGTCCACCTCCATCCTGTATGCAGCTAGGAATGTTTACTGGGCAATGGTTACAGTATGCACCTCAACAGCACAGTGTACCTATGCTCACTCTATTTACATGGTTTAAGTGCTTGCTTACAAATGCAAATGAAGTTTATCTTCTACTCAAGTTCTTACACCACATCTTCCAGCACCACAGTAAGTGGTCAGGCCATTCGCTCCCCCAGGCAGGGAAGCACCTATGTACCAAAGCACTGGTTTAATGCCACTGCTCTGTTCTTACAGATCTTGAGTTTAATATTAAGAACTTTTCACTGACACTTTCAGCACAGTGACCCTCTGCAAATCTATTACATTTCTAGCCAGAAAGCCCAAAGCACATTCTAAAAGCCTGTTAAGTATACTTGGTTATAGCTATGTGAAATCGTTACAGACAAGCTACGTTCCGGCTCACCCCAAAGTCACAATAGCTGCAAACAAAGTTCACAGTACTGCATAACAACGTCTCCTAGGGGGAAAAAGAAAAGCATTTAATGTGAATGTGACATGCAAATATTAAGACAGGACACCAGACTTCTTTTCTTTCCCCTTCCCATTGGGTGTTTTATTTTATAGCATTTGCATTAGGTAATCAACTGAAACACTTCAACAACAGAAAGCTGGCAGCATAGTAAGGAAAAAAATGGAAATTATTTCTCAAACAGCTGTGACAAAATGGTTTCAAGTTGGAATAGTATTGCACAAACGAATCAATTTACGGAAGGGTGAGTGGGAGCGAGCATCTTCAACATGGATTGTGAGGAAAAAAGGCACTATTCAGCTGTGTGTGTGTTTAAAAAGAAACAAGTCATGACGCACAATCCATGTTTCTCAAAATTACATTCAGTACCGCTTTAGAAATGCTCACAAACCTGTCTCTCTTTACAGAAGCTACAGAAAGCTGCTGATGTAAATATCAGACAGTACAAGTGTATGAACATTTATAATTATGCTCCAGAAAAGTCTCAGGAAGAGGGCTCTTTCTATAAATACTGCTGCAAAGGTTACATAGTTGCATAGGCTTACAGTAAAGGAAGCATCCATCCAACTAAGCAGCCTTACAGTTTCCTTAAATTTAATCTCTAGTAGTCATAAAATATGCTCTAATTCTGAAAAGCTAAATTGGCAGTGCACTTGAATCAGGCTTTTCCACTGACTGCTTGAGCAGCAGAGTTCAGACAGGGTCATCCATACACCTTTTTGTCATATACATGTTCAGCAACACCAGGTAAGCTCAATAAAAAATTTTAACAGAATTATAAAAGAAAATAACTGAATTTTCCCCAATATAAAATAGAACTGTTCTGAGACCATAAATAAGCAAATGTTTATTCCCGGAAAGTAAAAATAGCTACGTATATTCAGAAAAGCTAAGTACCCAGAAAAGGCATTTTGAATGAGCAGGGTGGGCTGCTCCTTCCTCTCCCACACTGTATAGCTATAAATTTTCATGCCTGTTTGAAAATGAGGCCATGATCAGCATACCACTAGTAGAGAGACCGCCTGAAAATCAACTCAGAGCAAGCAGAATACTCTGCACCCTAGCCTTGTGTTTGCCTATAGATGCACTAGTAAGAGTGAAGTTCTTGCTGCATGGCTGCAGAATTATTATGGGAAGGAGCTAAAACCACTGTTGCTCTCCTATCGATGCTGCCCGGTGTATCACCAGTGCTCCGGGCATGCTGTGGGTATGGCTATGTAGTTGCCAGCGCAGCTGGACCTCGTGCCATTATGCTGACATCAAGAGTTTCAACAGGGCTACAGTTCAGCACAGAATCTGGGTGTTAATCTTGTACAAAAAGTACAGAACAGTGTAACAAAACCTACTCTAAACTATAGCGAGATGAGCATTTCAGCACCTTTCAAACGGACTTAGCCCTGCAAAAAGCCAATCTCCTGTGCAGAGACTACAGTGACTTCAGTTAAAAGATCCATGTTTAGGAGGCTGCATAGTAAGTTTACTGATCGTATAACCTGCAACAACAAAAATCCATGTATTGCTGCTTTTCACTAGAAGTCATTAAGGGAAAATACACAAGATAAATTCTGCTTATATACTGTAAAACATTTTTAATACCAACAACTTGGATTGTTTTCCATTTCCAAATAGAAGATGAATAAAGCAGGTTATTAAAAATCCGTAAAGCTCCTTTTCCTAAACTGTCTTTTAGGAAATCCAAGTTTGATAGTTTTCAATTCAAAGGATTCTAAAAAGTTCACAGTTGACTTAACAGTTGCTCTAGATATAAAAGTTGACAGCCTTGATTCCTTCTGTGTTCCACAGACAGTAACGTCTTCAGAGTACATCTGGAACAAAACCTCCCAGTTCTAGCTAGCATTTTTACAAAATATCCCTAAAATTCTTGCTTGTCTCAACTCTGTCAGTTCACAGCAAAGGACAGGAAGTGATATCTGATTAAATAAAATGTGTTTTCTTACATGACCTATGAAAAATATATTGCTCATTTAAAAGTAAAAAAAATTGCATTGTTCTGTTATTTTCTATTATTGTTCTTACTGAAGACTCATAATTGAGAAAATCTAAATCCTGGAAGGAAAAAGAAATCAAATACAACTTTTTAAATGGCTTACAGAATAGAAAAGGTTTCTGTAGAGCCTATGGAAATCAGTAGAAGGTTTGCCTATTGTTTTCTTGTCAATATAGAAGCATTTGTCTACATACCTATTTCATTACTTAGATGAATACTTTATGTTTTCACTTACTAAACTCTTCTGCTCTCTGAGAGGCGCTCTTCTGAATATTCTGAAGGAGACTCAAGAAGGTAAACTGATCCGAATTACTCTGAAGGAGAAAAAAGATAGTCAAATCTATCGTAAAACTATCAGTGAGTGAATAGTCTTTCCTGGGATTATAAATATTCATTTTATTTCCAAAAAGTTACTGCTTTGTTATGGACAGTTTTAGATCTCCATTAGCTACTTCTTGTGTATGACTCCTCAGTTCCTTTCTTTAGGAACATAGGAAACATGTCTTCATGTGTGAAGACATCCTATTCCCAAACACACTGGCGTTATTAATGACATCAATAGACAAGAACTAGAACAGGAAATCTTATGCATGGTTCATGCTATATAAATGGTAAGCTATCAGAAGGAAATTCCCTGATTATTTGGGAAGAACAAAGAGAGATCTATTTTTAAAAATCAAAGGGAAAAATCCAAGAAAACAAAGAAAATGCAAGATGTACCTGATAGTCTCTCCCTATCCTCTCTGTAATCGGGCTGTTGCTTTTGGCTGCAGACATTCGGTCCACAGAACATTTTCCATTTCCTTTGTTTTCATTTCAAGAACAAGCTGGTTAAAGAAACTCTACTTGGTAATTTTAAACTAAGCCTTCAGCATCACCCCTTAGGAATTTAAACCTTTACCACCATTCCTCACTTTGTCTCCTCAGTGCCTTCCCCCATCAAACTCTGTGGAAAGCACTTCACGAAAAGGCAGGTGTAAGATGTATAAATACTCAGATCTTTAAGAAAATTCAATAGGAAACAAATTCTTGTAGTTCTCCACTGCCATTTGCTCTAATGCAGTGGCCCCAAACATCTGTTCTCCAATTGCAATTTACTTCATCTACCAGGTGTTTCACACTGTTATTAATGGCAACTCACAGATTTACAATAGTCACATAAGGCAGTTACATAAATACAGTTATGTCAATCAAGTTCACTGCATCTTTCCCAACCAGACTACACATGACATTTTTCTTCTTGTCTTCTTACCATAATAAAAGGATGAAGACTACATTTCTGCAAAGAGAATCCCTGGACAACATTCTGGTATTGAAGTCAGAGAGGTCACTGAGGTGCATTTCAGCAATGTCCGACAGTTAACTCAACCACGAAGTAGATGCGATGTTTTTCACTTCACACATAACAGAACTGGTGCAAAAACCCCACTTTAAACTAGTTACTTTAAACCTTTTGGTCCAAATACATAAAATAAGCAGTATTTACAGCATTTTACTCCTCCTGTATATGCAATGCTTTAAAACACGTTATAAAGCACCTTAGTAAAAATATTCTACAGATAAAAGTATCGAAGTAGTAGGAAAACCCTAACCATACCACAGCTCACTAATGGAGTCATAATATGGATTCACCAATACCTCAGTTTACAATTATTACAAAGAATCCATGGAGAAACTTAATACTGAATTTATGATTTTTATGTCACTGTGTAAGGATCAACTAGATCTGCAGACAACACCATCTTTCTTCATAGTTTTCCCAACCTCAGCCAGTGGTGGGGGGGATAAAGAAACCAAAACTGCTCCTATTCTTTAACTTTTTACAATATTAAGGTGGAAATGATGTTTTAACACCAACGATCAATTGTCATTTTTGAAGAAAATCACATAGATAAATATGGGCAATTGCAGCAGCATTTCTCAGCAGAACATGATTCACCATCCCAATTAATATCATGTGACATTACTCACAAAAACAAAGCACAGATGTCAACCAGTTATTAACACTATTGTATGTAACCAAATTTCCATGTTGAAAGCTGGGAAAAATTACTTCCTCTTCACAGAAATATAAATGAAAAGAAATTGCTCTGAAAATTAAAAAGAGCATCAACAGAAGCATTTTTTTGTTTGGCTATATTTTCAACTAAAACTGCTGTGTATTAACTGCTCCAAATTAAAAGTGTAGATTTCTTCAGGTAAAGGATATTAACTCCCACTGAAAGTATTAGACAAAAGAAATGAAGCCTTTGCTTCTGGATTACCAACATAGTTAGCCAGTATCCAATGCCCTGGAGGTGATCCACAGCCCACTTTTCCCAGATCTATAAGGAAACGTCTTGAAGGTCTACAAGCAATCTAGTTTCCATGGCTGAGGACTAAGATGACAATGTGACCAAAGATTTAGGTCCATCAATCTAACCGTACAGTGTTGTTCTTAGTTTGATTTCGGGTAAATCTTTTCATAGAAAAAGTTTTGAGCCAGAATATACAATTCTCCATCTTTTTCCCGAACTGCATGTGCTCTGACAAACTGAAACTGCTCCAGTGCAAATTCATAGAACTCATTCTCCATTTTCCAGATTTCAGACTGTTGTAGCTTGGCAATAGTTTCTTTTGTGGGAAGTTTTTTCTCAGTTGTTTTCCTAAGATGAGACTTCTTTCCTAAATGCAAAACGAAAGCAGGAACTTCACTTTAAGGTTCATGGATTAAAAAATGTTTACAGTCCTTTTATTTACAGAGTTTTATACTCTCAGCATGTTGATAAACTGCATTAGAAGCGACAAAATTTAATCCAGAATTTATTAACATAACATGCAGGGTTGGAAAATTGCAGTCTCTCTCACTAAATGTTAATGAATTTTGCATCAGTTCTTTCAATTCTTCCTCCCTACTGTAATAAACCCAGGGAATGAACACTTCATTTAAGGAACAAGATTACTCCACATAATGTACTTGGAGCAAGATTGGTCTTTCAAAATTAATTATTTAGATGTTAATCTGATATCAACTGTTGAGAATTTTAAAGGCTGCAGAGCAAGAGACTTCTTACAGGAGACAAAGATGACCAAAATGATGACAGCATTTTCCCTCAGAATTGCTATCTGCTGCTTTGTAACAAAACTTGTCAATACCACACGTCTAGAACCTACACATCAGATCCTTTACTCCCTCTATTTGCAGACAGAAGCCCTGCCTAAGACGGACCTTTTCCTCATGCTAAGTTGCATGGCCAGCTCCAAGAAACCAAGCTACTAGCTATATGACAAATGGCTTACTACAACCCTGGGAAGGCAACGTGTACTTGGGCCTTTATATCCCTTGGGCCTTTTTGCACAGCCAGCCAGGTTGCATCAAGCACAGGCTTGTGTAAGGCAAGGAGGTACCTGGGCTGCCCTCGAACATTTGTACTAAGAACCTTTGGAACATGTAGGAACATCAGCCAACTGAGAGGCAAACCTGGCAGAGATTCAAAACTATTCATCTAAGTCTAAAGAATTTGCATTAAAAAAAGGGATAAGAGGACAAAAAAATCCATGGAATCCTTGGAAATCAACCATCTAAATAATTTAAATACCTGTCCGGTACAGTTCTGTGGCACCCCTGAAGAACCGGGGCAAAGCTGCCTCCAATAACATGATAAAGTCTTCAAGCTCTTCAGTAACTCCTACTAGGAAGTATTCATTAATCAGATTGTATTTGGCTTGTTCCAAAGCCCATCTGCTTCCCACATTCCTAAAATGACAGAGAACAATTACAGCGAGTTCTGATGTCAGCCAACAATCCTTGGTCCCTAGATGGAGATTATTTTGTAACAGGACATTTGCATAGGAAAGGGAAGGCTCGCTTCAAGTTGTAACCATTCCTCACTTTATTTCCCATTGCAGTTTCTCTCATGTGAGTTCTTAGCTACAAATTTGACTCCTCTAGTTATTTTGATTAATAACTCATTTACAAAAAAAACCCCACTTGTGTATAGGGTTCCTGTCTCTATTAATGCAATATTTGCAGGATCTACATTTCTCATATCAATATTCAGTCTCCACTTTACCATTAGATACCAGAAATGGCTCTGGTAAGAACACATCTTCCCCTTTTGCATTCTACAAGCATAATTCTGAACTAGAAAGTCCTTTCACCTAATGGGGGGACTTCCCTACTGAACAACATACAGAAATGAAACTGACGTTGCTTTCCCCCTTTTATAGCTCTAGCCAGGATGAAAAGACAGGTTCAGAGTTCTTTCCTGTTCTGCTTTTCCATCTGGCCCAGGTGTAGATAGGTCTGACCAACAGGCACTGAAACAGGAGCTCTAAATGACCATGTGCTTTGATATGTTTGGATGAAGAATAGCTTTGACAAATAATTGCCCTTGATTCCACTCAGAATCCTTCAAATAACTTTTTTTTTTCCCTGTAGTTTGCCTTTAGTTTAGTGTTTTAAAGCCTGTGCCATTGTCATAAATCATGCTACATTGACAGATGGACACTATTTGATTTTGATTTTGTTTCTTCTAAGTAACATTCACTACTGGGTGTCTGGTAAAGGTTTAAGAAGATAAATTTATCCTGATCTCAATTATTTTGTTCTTCCCAGAAAATTTAGGAGCTTGAACAAAATATCTCCATTCAGAAAGATGGATATTGTAGCCTGACAGAAGAGAAAAATGTTGAGACTCCAAATCTACAAAAATTATTGTTAAAATGGGAAACATCTGTTTTCCCTCCTAGCACTGCTGATACAGTACACTAACACATTGCTTGTTTCAAGAGCTGCAAGACTGTTACACTAAAACACATCTTCAAAACAAAATACAGTACTAAAGTACCTGCTGCTTTGCTCTGTTCAGTCCCTCACACTTTCTCCAACTGTGTTAGAGATTTGTTAAGTTTAGCTTTTAGCACTGATACACTTGACTAACAATTTAAGCTACATTTCTCTCCCTACCAGCATTCGGAGCTGTGGCCACAGAAGAACGGAATTTGAAGCCAAAGTTTCTCTGGAGCACAGTCTGAACCTCCAGCTGCCACACATTCATCAAAGGTCTGGAACAAAGACAAAATTGAGCTGAGCTTTAAAATCTAGTATGTGTATCCCACATCTCAACCTGGTTAGTGGCTAAACGTAGTGGGGACAGAAAAACACAAGATACGATGTGAACGAAGGAAAACCAGTACATTTTCAAGCTGTGCTTTCAGAGGGTTATTATGAGGACCTATTCATCTCAATTAAAATAGTACTTGGATACTCTAGAGTTAAAGCTAATGAACAATTTGATCTTACCTGGTTCATTTGACACCCCTTTGATATAACCTTGATAAAGGCTGAATGTCAAAACAAGCAAAACCAGTCAGTAAGTGTTAATATCTTTTTTTTCCCTTACAAAATATGTCACTAAAGATACAGCATCGATTGCCATCAGGATTTGTGTGATACTGGAAACAGCTGGATCTTTATATGACAGAACACTCTTCATTTGGTGTTGTAGGTTAATCAATGTTCTATTTCATTTTAAATATGACAACCGCCATTTCAGGGGCCAATTTATTTTTGGCAAATACAGCCTTGCTGTATGTGGATAGACAGCTGTATCAGCACAGAGATTCAACTGCAGTACTACAGTTACAATGAGAACTCCATTAGCATTGGGAAAATTGGTAAATACTTTTGCCCAGTCACCATAAAGTATTTACAGTATTTCTATTTCTAAGCAAGGTGTAAGCCATGTAGCTAGGAAAGATTAAGAAATTATTTAATAACAAATAAGTGATCACACAGAGAACTTCTTAGACTGTTTCTTCTGTTCAACTGTTTCTTCTGTTTCTCTTCAAAACAACTATGTACAAATACATGTGCCTAATTATCCATTTTTGAGCTTAATGAATTTTACATCTAATGTATGTAAAACTGACACCATCTATATATGTAATACGTTTTTTTAGAAACACCCTGGAAAAACAGGATCCCTAAAACTTGGCATAGCAAATCAATTTGACTTCATACAAACTAGAGACGCTTACAGGACAACTTAAAGCTGTATGGCAACAACTAAGTTTCAGACCTAAAGAAAGTGGTATGATAGTGACAAAATGAAAAAAAAAAAAAAAAAAACCAACCCACCATCTTTAATAGAAACCCATAAAATTATTACTGCAGTGCACTGCAAACATTATAAATAGGAACATATTTCAATTTCTTCCAGAAAAATCAGAGCTTACAGTGCAGACTACCAAGCAATAGCATTAGGGATTTTGCCTTTATGTTTCCCAGTGACCACCTAACAAGGCTGTTTGGATTCTAATTCAAAACTAAAACAAAGCTGTCAAATGTCACACTTTTTACTAAGTACTAAGTCCTATAAACAGCTTGGAGTTGGTAGCATGGTCTGCTTTCCAACTCATTGACCTACACTAGCAAGGAATTCCACCGACCAAATCATGCTCCTCATGAACAGGAATAGAGCAGGTTACAAAAGATGAGATTCTCTCTCTTTTTAGAAATGCCTTTATGACACCGTATTACCAAACCATCTCTGTAGCCAGTTCTATGAAGATACATTTTTTTTTAAGCTTAATCTCAATTTGGTTTGCTTGAAGCTTTCCTCTACCTATGTTACAGGATGTCAGGACAAACTAAGCAGTAGCTGAAGATGGCGCCAAACCCTAAATAACAGAGGAGAGTTTAGTCATCAGCTGGGAAGAGGAGAGGAATGCTCTGTTGCCCATGTTTTAAATACGCTGTTTGGATGTGGGGGGCGCACACAAAATGAACAGTCTCATTTCTTAGTTATGCTGTATATAGATTAAGCTGTATTCAGTGTGATTTTTGATGAGTTATTTTTTCAATATCTCTCAGTATTCACACATTCGACACTAAATTGTCAATGTTAAAGTAAAAACCCAATCAGTTTACTAAACTATTGACAGTGACATCTTAACAAGTGGCTCTGTAAAGTACAAAAGCCCTTTCCATTTACTCAAAACTTCCACACTGTTCTAACTATAGTTTTATAAACTATATTCACATATTTAATACCCCACTTTTCTTCTTGATTTACAAAAAGTCCAAAGCAACATGCTCCAGCAAATGTCTTCCTGCAAACCATGACAGTGGATGTATAAGTTCCTTCTGAAATAAATATACTATGAAGTCTGAATCATGTTGTCATTCTGAAACTGTGCTAGTAAGCAAGGTTCAAATATACTAACCTGACCTACTCCTATAGCCACCTAAGACAGACGGAGGAAGTATTGAAATCTATGATTAAAACTCCACAGTTTGCAAGAAGACTCTTTACACAATTCCACTGCAACATTTACTTCTTTTTTATTATTAAATTATTAATTATTA